TTATAACTGCACCAGGAATGAAGTGACTGGTTTCACCCCGTACGAACTGATGTTCGGACGCCAACCTCGGTTGCCAGTTGACCTTGCATTCAACCTGCCAGTGCAAGAGGAACAACACTCATCTCACTCTGAATATGTGCAAAAACTCAAGTCACGTCTCAAAGAAAGCTACAAGTTAGCTATGGACAAGGCTGCAAAGATAGCTCACAAGAACAAAATGAGGTTTGACAGACATGTAACTGCCTCAGACTTGGAAGCTGGAGATCGGGTATTGGTCAGGAATGTCCGTATCCGGGGCAAACATAAGATTTCAGACAAGTGGGAACACACCGTGCATGTAGTGGTGAGAAGGGCAGGCAACCTCCCAGTATATACAGTTAAGCCTGAAAACAAAGATGGTCCCCTAAGAACACTACACCGGGATCTGTTGCTACCATGTGGCTACCTACCTGTGGAGGAAAGCAGTGAGCATGTCCAGAAGCCAGTGTCACACAGGCCAAGAACCCGTGCAAATCCAGCGCTAGAGGAAGAGAACTCCTCAGACGAAGAAGATGATTTGCTCATTCCTGTTTGGTTGAGTTCCCCTGTCCACACAGTGAGTGAGAGTCCTGTAAATGTTCCTGATATTGACAACCCACCTGTTTTTGACAGCCAATCTGGTTTTGGCAACATACCTGATATGCCTAACAGTACTACAGATGATACTGAGTACTTATCTACCAATGGAGTCACACCGACCGAACAAGTGGATGAAATAACCTTAACTGAAAATGACTCACCTGTTGATGACCCAGACGTCCAAGAAAGGCAACTTCCATTTCAGGAGGCTGGCACCAGAGGTGCGAATCCTGAGGAGAGATTGGAGGAGATAGTCCCAGTGGATACAAGGGAAAACATGGATACAAATGATTCTGTAAGGAGATCTGAGAGAAACCGTCGTCCGCCACGACGGCTTGACTATACGGAGCTAGGCAATCCACTGATCACTGCAGCAAAATCAAAAAAAATCATATTTATTCTCTTTATATTAACTGTCCACATCAACAAAACGTCATATTTCCTATGACCATTGAATGCACCTAGCTCAGCGACCAATCAGAGCCTACCCAGGCCGCATTGACCCTGTCAGCCAGGAAGTGAGGTGAAGGTGAAGGTGCATGGTGCTCCCGGGTTTTCTCATCTCAGCAAGAGGAGTGGAGGCATCTGCTACTCAAACCGAGAAATCCACGGACAAAAGAGAGGAAAAACTCAGGATTGAGAGGAAGGAAAGCCAGCCTACTTACCTGCTGGAAGTCCGGAGTCGAGTGGCTGGATGAAGGAGAGAGGCAACGTCGGTAAGACGAGTGTTATTCTGATGGGAAAAAACTTGTAGAGACTTACCGTCGCGATCATGCTAATGCTAGCTCTGTGTCTCACAGGCTAACCACTCACCTTTCATCCGGAGAGCTGCTGCAATTCCAACGCCAGTGTGTGTTGGGCTTTTGTAAAACAGAGCAATGGTGAGCAACATGTTCCTAGCTGCTCTAAAGCTAATTTTTGTCAGTTCACTGTGAGTTTAAAGTAATCTAGAGGGTAATTTTTAGTGCATTTCTCTCTCACGAATAGGCCTATAGTGTGGAGAAATTAAGCACACTGCT